AGCCAAACAATAGTCTCTCCACCAAGTCTTGGCGGATCCCGACAAGCGAAATATAGCAAAATCGACCCCATTGGTCTCAACTATCCCCATATTCCTGAGACAGTTGTCTAGATAATTATGGGGATCCTCAGAAGATGCACCGCTGAAGCTAGTAGTGAAAAGCTTGGTGAACCTGTCCAATCTTCACAAAGCATCAGCAGACATAACTGCTCCATCACCTGTCTGAGCTACCACACCCGGCTGAACTGCTCCAACTGGCTGAACTGCTGGAGTCTGAAACTGGGGAGCCATTTGCTCTAGAGTGCAAGTAGCAGGAGTCTGGGCTCCTCCTCCAGCCTGAGAGATGGCTGGTGCTACAGGAAGCAAGCCTGCCCGGGTGACACTCTCCATAAGGCCCACTAGACGGACCAGAGCATCCTAGAGTACTGGGGTAGCAATAAACCCCTCTGGGACCTGAGCTGGGCCCACTGGAACTGTTGGGGCCGAAACCTCATCATCAAAATCAACTTGAGGCTTCACCGCTGGTGCTGCTGCTCTAGGTTAAGCTCTGCCCCTGCCTCAGCCTCGCCCTCTGCCCCTCGTGGGAGCTTCTGTTGGGGTTTCGGGCTGCTGATCGGTGGATGAGGAAGCACGTGTTCTCTCCATCTACGAAAGAACAGAGTAGAAATTCAATTAGCAGTGAGAAACCAAACCACACGACAAGAAAGAACAAATGTGAAGTTTTTCCTAACTCTGTAGCCTCTGGGGATAAATACAGACATCTTCGTACCGATCCCTCAGACTCTACTAAGCTTGTCCATGAATTGTGAGACCTCTGTAACCTAGAGCTCCAATACCAACTTGTCATAACCCGTATTTCCCACCCTCGGGAGTCATGATGGTGCCTACTCGTAGAATCTAGGCAAGCCGTGCAAATGAAAAATCACTAACCCTTTAATTTTACCCCTTTTTAACAATTGAGATTAACAGGTAATCAACATTGAATATTAATGATAAATAAAACAAGCGGAAGACTTAAACTGATAAAATAACCAAAGCCAGCACTCCAATGCCAACATACGTCTCTACCCGGAATCTGGTGTCACAATATCACGGATTGTATATGAGTATCTACACACAAGTGTCTGAAAAAGAAAATATAGTCTCTCGGATACAAGTGAAAACAGAGCACATAATAAGATAGAAGACAACGCCGGGTCTGCGGATGTCTGCAGAACTACCTCGGGATCTCTAGCTGGACTGAAGGCAGCCACCCAAATGCTATGGTCCAAGAGCTGCTTCGGGATCTGCACATAGTCCAGAGTATAGTATCAGCACAAACTGACCCCATGTGCTGGTAAGTGCCTCGCCTAACCTCGGCGAAGTAGTGATGAGGCTAGGACCAGACTACCAAATAACCTCTGCAGTTATATAAAATACAGCAGAAAATAAAACAGAAATAAACAAGTAAATATAGGAGGGGGGTACATGTTGCGGGGTATACCAATATCAACAGTAAATCAAGAGTAACAGTATAAGAACAACTTAGATTTCACAGCAAAACAATAAGAAATTTGTATCCAATCTATAAACACTTTGTATCAGCAATTATTGCGGCGCGCAACCAGATCCCAATATATATCAACACTGTTGCGGCACGCAACCCGACCCAAATATATCATCGTTGCGGCGTGTAATGCGGTCCACATATACAATCAACAACAATCATAGCAAGAGTCCCTACAAAGGATCAATAAAGGACTACACTATCCCGGCAAGGGAATCGATAGTATAAGTAACAACATCCCGGCAAGGGAGAAACAGCTATAACCAAACTTGTTCCAACATCTAACTACCTCAGCTAACACCAATACTCAGTCATAAGTAATTTCCACGAGAATAATCACGATCTTTGCTTAATACAGAGAGTCATCAACTTAAGCATCCGTAGTATTATTTAAGAACACAATAAATTACAATTCAAGACTCACGATCATGCTTGACACCAACGTATAGATACTCATCACCATGCCTATACGTTGTACTCAAAAAGAAACAAGTAGCAAATAGGACACAACTCCTAATCCCTCAAGCTAAGGTTAGGCCAAACACTTACCTCGAACTTCCACGGCCAACTCAAGCATCGCTTTTCCTTTTGAATTCGGCTCCAAATCAATTGTATCTAGACATAATCGACTTAATAACATCAATAAATGCTAGACAATCCAATTCCAATGCTTAATTATAGCATTTCCATCGTTCTTCCCAAAAAGTCAAGAATTGACCTCGGGCCCGCTTGGTCAAAATACGAGGTTCGGACCAAAACCCGATCACCCATTCACCCACGAGCCCGAATATATAAATAGTTACAAAATGCGACCCCAAAACGAGGTCTAAACCACAAGTATACAAAAATCCCTAACTCTACCCAAATCCCTAATTTTCTACCCTTAAGAACATGATTTAAGCTTAGAAATCTAATGCGTGTTAATGGAAATTGAAGAAAATGAGTCCAAGATAACATACCTATGAATTAGTGGTGAAATCTCCTTTCAAAAATCGCCCAATTTGAAGTTTGGAAGAAGAAGTTATGAAATTTTGGCTAAATCCCGTTTTGGTCCTGTTTTAAAATCACTGGACAGGCCTTCATCGCGTTCGTGACAGGCCTATCGCGTTCGCGATGGGTCAGGCCAAATAAACCATCGTGTTCGCGATGGGTCAGGCCAAATAAACCATCGCGTTTGCGACACAAGGCTCGCGTTCGCGGAGCTTCAACCCCCAGAGCCTTCGCGTTCGTATGGACGCGTTCGCATAGGGTAAAATACCCCTCCCCCGCCCAGGCCCATAAGCCTTCGCGTTCGCGTTACCAAGCCCGCGTTCATGAAGGGAAAACCCCCAAAGCTTCACGTTCGCGACCTGGGTCTCGTGTTCACGTAGAAGGAAATCTCCTTCAGCCTGACTAACTCATCGTGTTCGCGAGGATTCTCCCGCGAACGCGAACAAGGACATACCAGAACATCAGAAACTGAATAACCTGCAACTTTTTATGAGTTCAAAACCTTCCGAAACCCATCCAAAATTCACCCGAGCCCTCGGGTCTCCAACCCAAACAAGTACACTAACTCAAAAACATCATATGAACTTATCTATGCGATCAAATCGCTAAAATAATCCCTTAAAAAACGAATTAAACCTCAAAATCAATAAAATATTTCAAAACTTCTTAAAACATCAAATTTTGCATTTAAGGTCCGAATCACGTCAAATGACATCCGTTTCTTACAAAATTTCACAGACTTATCTTATTTTACATATAAGACCTGTACCGAGCTCCAAAATCAGAATACGGGCCCGATACCATCAAATTCTGAATACGTTTCATTTCCAAAACTCATAGAAATTTTCAGAAAATATTTTCTTTAAAAATTCATTTCTCGGGCTTGGGACCTCAGAATTTGATTTCGGGCATATGCCCAAGTCACATATTTTTTTACGGACCCTCCGGGATCGTCAAATCATGGGTCCGGATCCACTTACCCAAAATATTGACCAAAGTCAACTTAAATATATTTTAAGTCAAAATTTTAACTTTTTCACAGATTTTTCACATAATAGCTTTCCGGCTACGCGCCCGGACTGTGCACGCAAATCGATGTGAAACTAAAAGAGGTTTTTAAGACCTTGGAACACAGAATTCATTTTAAAAACAAGTGATGCCCCTTTTGGGTCATCACAGAACCAAGTAGAAACAAGCTTAAAATTTCTTCATCAAATTTAATGCCCATAACAGATAACTGGTTCATGATCCCCTGAAAATTATTCAGATGATTTGTCATGGCTAAACCATCATGGTATTTTAAACCCAACATCTGCTTTATCAGAAACATCTTGTTGTTTTCAATTTTCCGAGCATACAAACTTTCAAGGTGCTCCGATAGGGTCCGAGCATGTGTCTCCCCAAAAATATGGTTCAAAACATTATCGTCAATCCACTGTCTAATAAAGCCGTCAACCTGCCTGTGTATCAAATTCCACTCTTCATCTGATTTATCAGGCTTTTTAGTGGTGAAAATAGGTTGATGAAAATTCTTGACATAAAGCAAATCTTCCATTTTGCCCTTCCAAATGGCATAATTTGTGCCATTCAAAGTAACTGTTCTACTAGTGTTGGCTTCCATCGTTTATCACAAATACAAATACTATTTATTAGAAGACCAAAGTAATTCTTTTCTGATGTGAAAGTTTAGACTGTGTTGCAACCACAGAGAATACTCAGACAAAACCTTGGCTCTTATATCACTTGTTGGGAATAAAAATAGACCCCGCAAAAATAATATTCACGGTATTAGTGATAAAGGCGGAACACTAAGTAATGGTTAAATCAACAAGAATAAAAGTGCAACAATATTGACAACAAGATTTTACGTGGAAACCCTTCTGAATAAGGGAAAAACCACAGCCAAGAAGAGTAACTGATATCACTATAGCAATGAATTTTTCACTATGTAGTAACGAGTACAAATACTCCTAAAACCACTACACCCTCAAAAGAAAAAATACACTTTTGCTTTTTCACCTTACTGCAATATCTCTTATACACTATTTTTCTTCACATACTATTTTCTTATAGTCTATGGAATACCTTGTGCTCTCTCTCACTCAGATGTATTGTCTGAGATTTTGGTGTATATGCAACTGATGAAATGCTTCCTTATTTATAGGGAAATAATGGGTTTGCTGATGTAAGCAGTGACTCAAGAAAGCACACAAAATTTCAATGTTTAAAGTGTGAAAGATATTTGGCTGATTGGCCATATCTGCAAACTTTAACAATTTACCAAAGGAAGAAGACATCTTCCTTAAAACATGGGGCTGGACCCCACAATATTTGTCCTCAGAAATTCATTGAATACGTACAAATTATTGAGTTAGAACTCACTAAATTTAAAGAACTAGAATTCTGAACCCATAAAATTTAAATCTTGGCTCCGCCTCCGGCTGAATATTTCCTAACAGGAGAATTAAATAAAGCAACTGTTTAAGCATATAAAGCCTCGCAATAAGCTAACAAAGTTGCTCTCTTGTCCCAAATCAGACAAGGTGGCAAAGACATCCTTCATAGCTGGACGTGCATTTGGATCGTGCTCCAGACATGCTGCTACAATTTCCGTGATGCAATGAGCTTGCTCATAATCAACTTGTAGGACTGACTTATCCAGAAGCGATCTTACATCATCAACACCATCGAGCTCTATCCTATGGCGTGGCTTACACATGTTTTCTTTTTGGAAAATCAACTCCATAAGTAGAAGACCGAATGTGTAGACATCACTTTTTGAAGTGCGAATACCACGAACAATCTCAGGAGCATCTGGGGAAAGAGGATAATAAACTCTCTCATCTTCCAGATCACTTATATGAGTGAGGAAACCAAAGTCAAATACTTTTATGTTCAAGTCCTTGTCAATCATAATGGTAGAAGAATCAACGCAACCAAATGAAAATTTTCTCTCATGGGAGAGTAGTTCAAGCTCATTACAGAATCTAGACGGATGGTCAACATAGCACTTCTGCCACGGTTAAAATAAATCCCATGTTTTGACAGTCACTTCACGGTCGTGAATCAAACCTCGAAACACTCTCCCATGCATAGTTTCCTTAATTAAGCATCTCTTACAGAAGTTGTCGGTCATCCCTTTCAAATCTTCGAAGCTATATATAGGGTTCCGCATCACCCACGGGTGTCGGATTCATTTTCTAGAGAGAATCATCAGCTTCCAGGAGCAGCCGCTCTTGTTGAAAGCAGTGCACCATAAACCTGTCACGAGAACAACTGTGTGGATTTTTTGATTTAAAGAAGTTGTCTACTTGACAATAGAAGGGATAAATGCCCCACATCATCAATGTCTTCCTGATACTTTCCAGGCTTTCCGTTTGCCTCAGTTGGCTTTGCGGCAAATGCAATCGGAGAAGATGGATCTAAGATGTTGCTGAACCACCTTAATATTAGGTCCCTAAATAGTGAGAAATGACTATTCAGGCTAGGGTATCAAAATCAGCCCAAACCTTTGACCCGCCCAACACGTCCAGATTTTAATGATGTATTAATCTATATCTATATCTATCTATTCTATCTATATTATTATAAAAACATGAATACGATGTCGATTTACAAAAATAATCTTAGAATATTAAGCATAATAACTCATAAAAAGGATATAATCGGAATTCTAGATATTAGTCTTATATTCCTATTAGTTTTAGGACATAATACTACACATTATGAATCCTACATGATTACTTTTAGGAATCCTCTTAGTATAATTACTTTCGGGCATACACATATAATACTACATGTTGTACATACATCTCAACATCTTTTATGTTTTGTTTAATAATTTAAGCACAGAAAAATCTAAAAGGAGCGTGTATATAGCAAGCTTCAAACAATTCTGGGGCTTACATGTCGTTTATAAAAAAAGGAACTGTCACGACCCAAAATCCACTAAGGGTCGTGATGGCGCCGGACACCGCTGTCAGGCAAGCCAACCAAGCTACTTAATTAAATTCTCGTTTTAATAATTTTGAAAACTATGATTTTCCTTCAATTTTACCAGTAAAAGATAATCGCTTCAAGTCAAATATTATTGTAAAGAAGTTAATACAAGATGCCTCGTGATCCTCCCAGAACCCGGTGTCACAAGTGCTTGAGCATCTACTAGTGAATGAAATAAAATACAGTGACTGTCCGGAATACAAGTGGACAGAAATGAAAATATAATACAATACTCTGAAGGAGACTCTGTTGGCTGCGGGCCGTCTCAATAAATGCAACTCACTTAAGTCTCTGTATCAACCATGCCGCTATGCCACTAAGCCATTAGCCGCATATGATCCTATGCAACAAAAATACACAACAAGTGTAGTATGAGTACGAAAACAACATGTACCCAATGAGTATCCTGTCTAATCTCGAAGAAGTAGAGACGAGAGGTCGACTTTGACACTTACTAGTGGTCCAATAGTAATATTATTAATGCGATGAATCACGGATTTAGTAAGAACAACAGTAAAATTCAAATAAGTCACGAATCAGGTAAAAGCCCCTTTTTTATAAAAAGTCTTCGGATTCATAATGCATTAATTAACAATTATCTCAAGTTGGGGAGAGCAAATATCAATATCAATAAATCTCAAGGCAAGCAATACAAGCATGCGCAAATCATGCCGAGGACGTACGGCCCGATCCAACAATATTTAAATTGTGCACTGCCAGAAGGTCGAATGGCGCGAACCATAGATGCATCAATTTAATTTGCCGAGGCATTCGGCCCGTTCTGAAATTAAACACACATAGACAGTCAATCAAGAAGTCAATGGGGAACAATTATCCAAAGAACGCCAATTCTCTTTTAATGATTTTTGAAAATAAAGTTTAAATCTTTTTGGAAATTCATTTACTAATCTGATATGAATTAAACAATTCAATATGTCAACAAGGTTACAAATATTCCAAGTATAGCATATTTTTGGGTCCTAGACTACCCGGACTTACACATAATTACGTAGCCCCTACAAATAGGAGTACATAACCAATTATTTCACCTATGGGGACAATTCCCTCTTACAAGGTTAGAAAGGAGACTCAC